AGGTGAAACAGAAAGGATACTGTCAACTGTGTTTCTTGGAAATGAAATAATGTCTCAAAACTTTCATAGTGACCTATGTATAAGTAATCCAGTATTTATGTATGAGCATTCCCAAATTATCTCTGTTCTTCTCTAATTTAAAAAGAATGGAAAAAAAAAAGCACATTTTTACCTCACTACTGATTGAGGGGCTTCACTTTGCATTTCACCTTCCTAATTACATCTCTGAAACTGTCACAACTTCTAACAACCTTAAATTTAAAAGAGAAGGTGATAAATATACAGCAGAAAAATGAGGTAAAGAGGAAAGAGAAAAGATCCTTTATCTTCTAACTGGGAAAAGCCCATGTGTTTTAAATTATTCAACTAAATCTTTTACTTATAAAAAAGGCCTCAAAATTTTAAAACCCAAGGTTATCCTCCTAAAAGTCATCATTTATCATGCTGTATCCTATACCACTCAGAGAGCAAACAATATTTCTATGTTGGGTGCCATGTCCTCACTGGATGTTCCAAAACATGCGTTATGGCTCAAGTTTAAAACTCTTCGTTACATTTAAATAGACTAGTTCCATGCCCTGTTGGCATGTTCAGACAAGATCATATGTATAGCTAAGGGACCCACTCTGAAAAAATGTAAACAAGATGGCTTTTTGTGGGAGTCGCTTACATATTACAGTTCACAGCAAAACAGAACCTCTCCAATAGTACTACTCCAATCTTATTTTAAATACCAATCATGACTCTTCTCCTACTGCTTATGAACAGCCCACCTTTATGAACAGTCATTTAACAGAGCACACTTAGTCCTAAAGATGCCAATTCAGTTAGCTTGTATTTCTTTTAATAGATTCTCAGCATAATTTTTTTCCTGGCCAAAAGTTCCTAATAGCTAAAAAGAGTAACTTTGTTCTTAATCATTCTTGCAAAGCATAGCTGCTAAACCCCACCAAAAATTTCTTTAGCACAAAGCTCAAAATATTAAAAAGGGGGAGAAGAAAAGAAAAGATAAAGAGAGGGAGGTGGAGCCTGCACTCCAATTAAGGCATTTTTATACACAGTCCAACTTGAGTCCTATTCAAAGGGAATCCTAAAAAGGCATTTCAATAGGGAATGGCAAAAATCACAATGGTCTATTATCAGCATTGTAGAACTTTCAATTGCTCACTTCAAATGCCATTATGTTGAATGTCTCTCTGTTCCTTTGTTCTTCAGTTTTCTCATTCCCAAGTGCATAGGTTAAGTCTTCTGTAGATCCGGGGAAAATGGGCCAGGGGTGGAAGGTCCATCCAGGCCAGACAGAGTGAACGGTCCATGACTGTTCAATACAGAAGGAAACTAAGAAAGAAAATGAAACACATTATAATCCCATTACTCAACCCTAACTTTCACTTTCTGTCCCTACTATATTTCCTGAGGCAAAATACAACAATCTTCCGAAGTGGTTCATAAGACAAAGGCAATAACTGTTTATCATAAAAGATATGTCATGGCTCGGCGCCTGTGGCTCAAGCGGGGCACCAGCCACATACACCTAAGGTGGCGAGTTTGAATCCAGCTCCGGCCCGCCAAACAACAATGATGGCTGCAACCAAAAAAATAGCCAGGCGTTGTGGTGGGCGCCTGTAGTCCCAGCTACTTGGGAGGCTAAGGCAGGAGACTCGCTTGAGCCCAAGAGTTGGAGGTTGCTATGAGCTGTGATGCCATGGCACTCTACCCAGGGGGATAGCTTGAGGCTCCGTCTCAAAAAAAAAAAAAAAAGATACGTCATAATAAAAATCTTTTTTAAAAAAAGTCTTGTGAGGCTCAGTACCTGTGACTTTAAGTTGCTAAGGCGCCAGCCACATACACCTAAGGTGGCGAGTTTGAATCCAGCTCCGGCCCGCCAAACAACAATGATGGCTGCAACCAAAAAAATAGCCAGGCGTTGTGGTGGGTGCCTGTGGTCCCAGCTACTTGGGAGGCGGAGGCAGGAGACTTGCTTGAGCCCAGGAGTTGGAGGTTGCTGAGAGCTGTGATGCCACGGCACTCTACCCAGGGACAGCTTAAGGCTCTGTCTCAAATAAATAAATAAATAAATACAGTCCTGTGGAGCACAGTGGCTCATTCCTGTAATCTCAGCACTTTGGGAGGCTGAGATAGGAGGATTAAAGCCAAGAGTTCAAGTTCCAAGTTTAGAAATTCAATAATAAATCTAGAGAGTATTTACTAAATAGAAGTTTTACAATTATTAAACTGAACAATGGGGATGTTGTTTTTTGCCTATTTCTTCATTTAAGGTACTCCAAATACAAAAGACAGACTTTTATAAAATTTACCTGGAAGAGGGTATTAGCACCTTGCAGTCTGGCTGGACTAAGGGGAGCAACAGGGCTAAGAGTACTCCAAAAATGGATGCTGGAGAGCAAGGGACTGGGAGTCAGTATGATGGGTGTCTGCAACACATAAAATAAAAATATTCATTAAATGACTTGTTAGGATTATGCTTTATCTTTGCAACTGAATATAAATAGCCCCAAAGCCCAAGAGAATACTACTCTGTTCTCTACTGCATGTATCTCCAAGTCTGAAATTTTATGACGAAAAACTTAGAAACTATTTTTACAAACTAAGAAAGAGAAAAGTCAAAATAATTATTTTTTAGTCCAACATTTATATAGAGTCTTTCTCAAATAAAGAAAACAACCTGAGGACAGTGCCTGTGGCTCTGTGGGTAAGGCGCCAGCCCCATATACTGAGGGTGGCAGGTTCAAACCCGGCCCTGGCCAAACTACAACAAAAAAGTGGCTAAGCGTTGTGGTGGGCACCTGTAGTCCCAGCTGCTCGGGAGGCTGAGGCAAGAGAATTGCCTAAGCCCAGGAGCTGGAGGTTGCTGTGAGCTGTGTGATGCCACGGCACTCTACCAAGGGTGATAAAGTGAGACTCTGTCTCTTAAAAAAAAACAACCTGAATTCAGGTACAAAGGAATAATGGGTAACCAAGTCAGCAACATGTTCTTTCCTTAATAATGAAAAAGTCTGGGAATATAATCTATTAAAATGTTCTATGAGATGAGCAAGTTAATAAGTGCCCAGTGTAACTGTACAAACTGGTTACTCAACATCACACTGCTCATTTTTCAACAGTTGCATACTCCACCAATGTTTTTTTTGTGTGTGTTCTATTGTCCCACATAAACAAATACAAGGTGGCCATAAAGTTCATGTGCAATTTAAAAGAACCAATTATTTTAAATTGTACATGAACTTTATGGACATCTGTATTAAAAAAAAAATCAGTGGGGGTCACACCCCCTTGAGATGTGACTGTTTCTCAGGATCTACTGTTACCTAACTTGATATTATCACTATTTTTTTTTTGTAAGTTACCAACCCGTTTTATAACAGAAAGAGAGAGAAAGAGAAAGAGAATATCTTTTTTTAGGAGGAAGTGAAAAAACCAAAATATTTACAGGGTTTCCCAAAGGTCACCAGACATTGGGAAAATAGAAAAGTGTAGCTAAATGTACCTTTACTTACAAAATATTCATTATAAAATTTTACAAAATATTCTCTACATGTTGTCTACCTCTTGGTAAAATTTAGTTGCAGAACAATGAATTTTTTAAGATGATACTTCCAACCTTTTGACATCCTAATTGAGATGAGAAATTAGGTTACTGGTTCTTTCATGGGCCACAAAAAACCTTTCTATGACAAACTTAAATAACAGAAAGCAAACCTGAGAATATAAATTCTGAATTTGTTTATAAAGGTGAATAAACACAAACAACCACGGAACTAAACAGAGTGAACTACCTGTGAAAAATATGCTGGCGTAAGAGAAGCTGTGGGGAGGGATGGGCTCAGTATTCCCAGGGGGCTTGGATCGCTGCCTGTGATTACAAGGGTGGGTGCCAGTTCTAACCCCTTGGGTTTCTTGGATCTTGATGAATTACTTGTTTTGTCCTTTTCTGGCAAAGCTGAATCCTGGTCTTTAGGCTCCAGTGGTAAGTTGTCTGGGAGTTCCATTGGCTGAGAAGCCACGGAATCTATGTCTGTGTCAATGTCTGGGTTAGAACTCAGTGGTGGTGAAGGGGTCCCAGGAGGCTCCTGCAAGGAAGTGGGTATGGATGAAACAGGGGGTGTGGTGGAAAAATTGGCAGTTGTGTTGGATGCAGAGGCTGGGGCTTCCAGGGAAGGTGGTTTGGGGGAAACCAGTGTCTCCAATGCTTGGATGGTTTCTTCTGAAGATGGGGAAATACTTGGACCAGTTGAAATAGTAGCAGTAAGAGGTTCAACTGGTGGTTTTTTGCAAGGTGTTGTTACAAATTTGATGACAGATGGTGTTGGTTCCTGAGGAGATTTTTTCTCTGCCAGTTTCTCAGCTGGATTCTCAATCTTTATTGGTTTGAAAAGCTTCACATTGGAAGAGTTCAACGAGTTGAGAGTAAATGAAGAATATAAACCAGAGTGTATGTAGTCATTGCGGCTAGAGCTCTTGGCACCAGGCTGAGGTGGTTTCTCTTTCCCTCCAGTCTCCACATCTTTGGAGCTGCTGCTGACTTCACTGGAGTTTAAAGTTTCGCAGTCTCCCTCAATCCTGCCCACTGTCATTGGATCCATGTTCAAAATCTCTGGATAAGAGACAAACTTGTACACAAACTTCTGACCATTCACTTTTTTGATGATATTCTGCAGGTAAATAAAATAAGCATTCTTATATTTTCTTATAAACTGGCAACCCATACTTCATTAAAAAGCAGATGTAACAAGGTTCTGCATTTAAGAACTAGGCACAGCTTATTTAAAAACTTCAAAATCCTCTAAATCCATCAAGCTATACTACACATAGTCCCTACTATTAAGGGGAAGTTAAGGTAAGAATACTTAAATTTCTTATTAACAAATGAACTAATATGTTATATAAAAGCTGAAAGATTTTGACTGCTTAACATTCTCACCCGGACTCAGTGAACTGAAATCTCAAATAATTTCAAAGGTACAAGCCATACACATCCTGAGTAAGCAAAAAGGAATTTAGAATATTACATCTGCTAAGCCTCCTACTTCCTTCAGAAATTCCAGTTGTTTCTTATCTCATATCTCCATACAGGAAAAGCTGATAAGATCAAGAAATTAAGATCTCAATTTCTCATTCTAATTCCATCTTTTGGAGCCACTTATTTTACCTCAGTGCCCAAGAAAGTATTCACAATAGATATCAAACAAAAATATATCATTTTAACTAAGAAATCAACTTTATGTACTAACAGCTATTCTTTAAGATGTTAATTTTTGTTCCTTTGGTTGAACTAAAAATTATGCTACAAAAACAAGTGTGTATGTATGTGTATGTGTGTGTAAGGAGACAAGCTAGATATGGTGGTACAGGCCTGTAGTCCAAATAGTCCCAGCTACTTGGGAGGCTAAAGGAGAGGAGTTTGAGTCTAGCCTGAGCAATGTAGTGAGACCCTATCTCTTAAAAAAGGGGGGGAGGGGGTTAGGCACAGTGGCTCATGCCTATAATCCTAGCATGCTGGGAGGCCAAGGTGGCCTTGAGCTCAGGAGTTCTCCACCAGCGTGAGCAAGAGTGAGACTCCATCACTACTAAAAATAGAAAAACTACCCAGGCATGGTGGTGGTTGCTTGTAGTCCCAGCGACTTAGAAGGCTGAGACAAGAGGATCGCTTGAGTCCAAGAGACAAGAGATTGCTGTGAGCTAGGTTGATGCCATACCACTGTAGCCTGGGCAACAAAGGGAGACTCTGCCTCAAAAATAAATAAATAAATAAATAAAAGAACCTCAAAATTTCCTTTCTCCTATTCCAATCCTATACTTACTCTTTTAACTACAACTGCAATTAATAATAAAATAAGCATAGTGGGAGTAGGTTAATAAACAAGAGTTTATAGAAATGCAGCTGAAACATTTATCCAGCATTTATCCATTTATCCTTGTATCCTAATTCCAAACTGCTAAAGCAATAAAATGAATTGGATTAAAACAAACCAGAAATAAACATTAACTAATAAACATTAGTACCGATAACCTCAAAAGAAGAATAATTCCTGTCTTGAGGTTCTCTATACAGTGTTAAGATGAGGATGTGTATTACCTTCACATAATAGTATCTGAGGGCTCGGCTGAGTTTGTCATAATTCATATTAGGCTTGTTCTTGCGAATTCCCCAGAGACGAGCTACCTCTTCTGCCTGCAAAAGCTTGAACTCCCCATTATTAGAGGTCCAGCAGATCATGTGCTTGTTCTGAGGCTCCTGCAGGAGCTGAAGGAGGAATTGCCACAGGGTGATAGCACTGTCCATAGCAATGAGCTGCAAGAATATAGATATGTGATAATATTAACAGCCAATACTTATTTAACTCTGTATGTCAGGCACTGTTTTAAGTGCTGTATATGTTCCACAAAATTCCTTAAGATAGATACTATTGCATCCTCATCTTACATTAAGAAAAATGTGATTCACAATAGGGGTAAGTAACTTGACTAAGGTCATACAAGTAAATAGTAAAGCTGGTATTTAAGCCCAAGTGATCTGAATCTAGAGTCCAAACTGTTAAACATACTATGCTGCTTAAGTTTTAAGCAACAAGCAACTTGCATAATGATAAAGCTAGTTCCATAAATTATAGGAAAGATTGATGATTGTCAATCACTAAAGTATCATGATTATTAAATTTTATCTTAAAATCTCATTGTCATTTTCTCTCAGAAGACTACCGTTTTTGCATCTAAATCAATCCAATTTGTTTATCTGCTAGGGTGTATGTGTGTGTATGTCCGTGTCCTTGTGTGTGTTCAGAGTGGCCCAGAAGCTGAGGTGTAGGGAATAATCTACTTTTGCTCCAACTGGTATTTCTCCTTCAAATAGCTTCCATTATCATAAATGTAATTTACATACAAACTGGCAGCACTGAGAATTCAGCAAAATGTTCCCTAATTTACAAGTTCTGTCGCTATTCTGTCTACAAGGATTTCATATGCATAGATTCTTTTATTTGATTAGCAAGACATGTACTGAAGGAATAGTCTTCAATATCTGAAGCTTTAGGATCTTCTTATTTAAGCCACAGTTTTGGCACTATTGGTATTTTGGGTCAGATAATTCCTTGTTGTGGGAAGCTGTCCTGTGTATTACACCTTGCTTAACAACATTCTAGCCTTTACCCACTAGATTCCTGTAGCATCCCCTGCCCCACTAAGACAATCAACAATGTCTCTAGACATTGTCAAATATTCTTCTGGGGGAGTCAAAGTCATCCTGGTTAATAATCACTGGTTTAGGCAATGGAACAGCAAGGAAATGCTCTTACAAAGGTATTTTTCTTCATATAATTTCAAAGCACCTTGTCTAACAGGAAGAATTCTTACGGGCAGAAACTCTGGACAAACTCAGGATAAATACATATATATATAACTTATCCTAAGAAGCCTGTGACTAAACACCTTCACATACAAATAAACCCCTTCCTTTTACTAGGAATGAGATCTCACTGGGTCAAATCAGAATTTGAAAACAAATCAAACAAATTCCATTAACTACAAAAATATTGTATGCTTTTGCTTGGTTTATCAAAGATCAAATGACAATAAGAGACTGGTTTCATCTCTTGGTTTTCTATTTTGTCCCTATGTCTATATGTCTGTTTTTGTGAGTTGTAATATAACCTGAAATCTGGTAGAGCGATGCCTCCAGCTTTGTTTTTATTACTAGGAATTGCCTTGGCTATACTGGTTTTTTTCTGGTTCAAAAAGAACTCGTATTCATCAAATAGTGCTGGGAGACTGAGATAACCACATGTAAAAGACTGAAACTGGACCCACACCTTTCACCACTTATAAAAAATTGACTCAGATGGATAAAAGATTTAAATCTAAATCACAAAACAATAAAAATTTTAGAAGAAAGTGTGGGGAAAACTCTTAATTATGTCAAACCAAGGACAGATTTTATGAGGAAGACTTCAGCAGCAACTACAACAATAGAAGTTTTTAAAAAAGACTTAATTAATTAAAAATAAAGGACTTAATTAAGCTGAAAAGCTTCTGCACAACTAAGGACACAACAAGTTAAGCAAATAGACAACCTTCAGAATGGGAAAGATATCTGCATGGTATGAATCTGATAAAGGGTTGATAACTACAATCTACAGAGAACTCAAATTAATCAACAAAAAAAGAACAATCCGGCTCGGCGCCTATAGCTCAACCGGCTAAGGTGCCAGCCACGTACACCTAAGGTGGCGGGTTCGAATCCCCAGCCCGGACCCGCCAAACAACAATGACGGCTGCAACCAAAAATAAATGGCCGGGCGTTGTGGCGGGCGCCTGTGGTCCCAGCTGCTTGGGAGGCAGAGGCAGGAGACTCGCTTGAGCCCAGGAATGGGAGGTTGCTGTGAGCTGTAATGCCACCGCACTCTACCCAGGGGGACAGCTTGAGGCTCTGTCTCAAAAAAAAAAAAAAAGAACAATCCCATCTATCACTGGGATTGTTGCAAAAGACATGAACGAAATCTCAGAGAAAGGTAGATGAATGGCTAACAAACATGAAAAAATGCTCATCTCTAATCATAAGAGAAATGCAAATCAAAACCACCTGAAATATCACCTAACTCCAATGAGAATACCTTACATCACAAAGTCTCAAAGCTGCAGATGCTGGCATGGATGTGGAAAGAAGGGAACACTTTTACACTGTTGGCGGGAATGCAAACTAACACAACCTCTTTGGAAAGAAGTATGGAGAATTCTCAAAGAACTCAAATTAGACCTCCTATTTGACCCTGCAATTCCACTACTAGGCATCTACCCAGAAGAAAAAGATCATAAGGACCTTTGCACTAGATTGTTCATCAAAGTTCAATTTACAATCACCAAGATGTGAAAACAATCTAAATGCCCACCAACCCAGGAATGGATTAACAAACTGTGATGTACATATGACTTTACATGATTGGGGTTTTATTTGCAGTTTTTGGCCGGGGCTGGGTTTGAACCTGCCACCTCCAATATATGGGGCCGGCGCCCTACTCCTTTGAGCCACCGCAGGCGCTGCCCTGACAAAATCTTTTATATTAACCTTGATGGAGTTGAAACACATTCTTATTAGTAAAGTATCACAAGAATGTAGAATCAAGTATCCAATGTATTCAATATAAAATGAAGCCAGTAGATGATATAATACATGCCCACATAAGAGAAAAACTCAAACCAATTCAAGGTAGGGAGAGGAGAAAAGAGGATGGGGAGTACAGAGGGGGAGACAGGAGGGGAGATGGGGGAGATGGGTGTGCTCCCACTTAATGGGCACAATGTTAAGGTGTATGGTGTACCTACTGGGGGCGGGACACAATTATAAGAAGGACTCTACCTAACAAATGCAAACATTGTAACCTATTTCTTTGTACCCTCAAATTAACCTGACATTTAAAAAAAACAAACTGCAAAAACAGGTAAACTGGACTATACCAAAATTTAACACTGTTGTGCTAAAACAATGCTATTGAGAGATGACAGTCCCCAAAATGGGAGAATATTTTCAAACTATGTATCACAAAAGGAACTTGTATCCAAAATATATAAAGAACTCTTACAACTTAATAAAAATTTTCAATAGGCAAAGGATTTGAAAAGACCTTTCTTCAAAGATACACAAATAGTCAATGAACACATGAAAAGATGTTCAACATGATTAATTATTAAGGACATAAAAATCGAAACCATTTCATTCTTACTAAGATGGCTATAACTGAAAAGACAACAATGAAGGTTGGCAAGGATGTGGAGAAACTGAAACCTTCACATATTGTTGTGGGAATGCAAAATGATACAGCCACTTTGGTAAAGTTTATCATATGACCCAGGAAGTCTACCCGTAAGTATATATACCCAAGAAAAATAAAAACTTATGGCCACATAAAAATTTATATTGGAATGTTCACAGCAGTATAATTCATAACATCTAAAAAGTAGAAACAACCTAAATAAATGTCCATCGATTAATGAATGAATAAATAAAATGTGGTACATACAAGGGAATATCATTCAGCCATAAAAAGGAATGAAGTACAAACACAACATGAATGAACCTTAAAAACACTATGCAAATGAAAGAAACCGCCACAAAAGACCACATATTAATTATATGATTTCATTTATATGAAATTTAGGTAAATCTATAGACACAGCAAATAGATTAATGTTACTTAGGGCTGGGGGTAAAGTGGGTGGGGGAGAAAGATGGTGAGTGACAGCTAATAGGTACAGTTTTTAGGGAGGTTATGAAAATATTCTAAACTTATAGTGATGGTTGCACAACTCTGTGGCATACTAAAAACCATTGAATTGAACACTGTAGGTGAATTTTATGTTACATGAATTATATCTCAATGAAGATGTTTAAAACAAACCAAACACACACAGCAAACATTACAAAAGTTAGGTCTGGGAATACTCTTTTTTTGAGACACAATCTCACTCTCTTGCCCCCAGGCTAGAGATCCTCTTGCCTCAGCCTCCAGAGTAGCTAGGACTACAGGTGCCTGCCACAATACCTGGCCAATTTTTTGATTTTTTTTAGTAGAAATGAGGTCTTGTTCTTGCTCAGGCTGTTCTTGAACTCCTAAGCTCAAGCAATCCATCTCCTTCAGCATCCCAGAGTGCTAGGACTACAGGCATGAGCCACTGAGCCTCACCTGAGAAGACTAATTTTAACAACATATAACTCACAGAGAATGGGATCCTTTTTTTTTGAGCCTCAAGCTGTCCCCTTGGGTAGAGTGTCATGGCATCACAGCTCACAGCAACCTCCAACTCCTGGGCTCAAGCAAGTCTCCTGCCTCAGCCTTCCAAGTAGCTGGGACCACAGACGCCCGCCACAACGCCTGGCCATTTTTTGGTTGCAGCCATCATTGTTGTTTGGCAGGTCTGGGCTGGATTCGAACCCACCACCTTAGGTGTATATGGCTGGCACCTTAGCCCCTTGAGCCACAGGTGCGGAGCCAGAGAATGGGATCCTTAAGGATCAACTATGTGTACATCCAAAAAGGGCAGAGGTAAGGAATGGCAGTTGAAAATATTTAGGTTTCTTAGCCAGACATTGTGGCAGGCACCTGTAGTCCCAGCTATTCTGGAGGCTGAGGCAAGATAATCACCTAAGCCCAGGAGTTGGAGGTTGCTGTGAGCTGTGTGATGCCATGGCACACTACCAAAGGTGACAAAGTGAGACTCTGTCTCTACAAAAAAAAAAAAAAAAAAACTAGGTTTCTATAACTTTTCTAAGATACTCAAATGTCCTACAATAATCCTCACAGTTATCACTTTGAAGCTGAGTGCAGAGATACAGTCATCTAAAAGTGGAAATGATAAAATAATAAAGAACAGAAAGGGGGAGATGCCTCCCATAGCCACACAGTCCATGGAAATGCTGAAGCCATGAATCCAAGTCTCTTTCATCATAGTCAATTATCACCAATTGATTATAAAGAATTACCTATTAGATACTGCCACACCCAGTAATCCACAAATATGAAATGCTACCTTAATTCTAAATAACATGCTCACTAGAAATCAGTTTCTCATAGATTCACTTAAGCAGAGTTAAAATGGTGATTTTATATCAAATCCATTAAGTATGGTGGAGGGGGCAGGGTTCTCTGCCATTTTTCTGAGCTTGCCAGACACATCTTTCTTTCTTTTTTAATTAATTATTTATTTATTTGAGACAGAGTCTCACTCTGTTGCTCTGGGTAGAGTGCTGTGCCATCATCACGGCTCACAGCGATCTGAAACTTTTGGGGTCCAGCAATCCTCTTGCTTCAGCCTTCTGAGTAGCTGGGACTACAGGCACCTGCCACAGATGCCCAGCTCGTTTTTTCTATTTTTAGTAGACAGGTTTTCACTCTTGCTCAGGCTGGTCTTAAACTCATGAGCTTAACCAATCCATCAGCCTCTGCTCCCAGAGTACCAGGATTACAGGTATGAGGGCCAAGATCTTTTTTCTAATGAAGCCTGTGCATGGCAAGTTTTTTTGCTACATAGTTTTCCCATTTAAACAATAATTTGTTTGTCTAAGCATGTAAAAATTACACTCTAGTAAATATTACCTTAACCAAAAAATGAAATTTCCCCATTTCCAGACATCACCTTCATATCAAGAATGCTTATAGGGGTAGGGGTGTGAATATGCATGCAAGAGAGGTAAGGATGGAAGAAAGACAGGCCGAGAATGAAATCTCTAGCCTACCACAAATGTGAAAATAATTCAAAACCCAAATCCTGGAGTTTTAGTCCCTACCACATAGATAATGTTTGAGCCCTACAAGTTTATGATGCCTGAGCTATACATCTAAAAAAACAAAAACAACAAATTAATGTCCCCACAGTGGCAACCAAGGAGATTCCTAAAACATGGGTGTTCCCAAGGTGGTACAGGTTTAACTTCCACCTTCCCCTTTGGTTATTAGTGGGATAGAGTATACCAAGTCAAATGAGCTGTTGGATACCTATAGTAGAACCTGTCAGGAGAATGCTGCTGCTTTTTCAGCAAACTATGGTGTGTCCAGAAGAGAAGGCTACTGAGAGTGAAATAAAAAAAACACTGAGGTTTTGGGACTGAAGTGGGGGAAATGAATTCTTTTGAGAAAAATAAAGATATAAAATGGCCATCTTCAGTGGGTAAAGGAATATTTTATTAATTTGATTTTGATATCAGATTATTCTTCTGATTGAAAAGTTGGTGAACTTTCTGGTATACAGTTAAGTTGAAACTCTTCATTTTAGTTCCTAAAGGTGTGCTTTTAACTATGAATGTCAACAGTTTCCTCAGACATAAAAGCAAACTAAAGAAAAAAATTCTCGTGAGATGCAATGGCTCAAGCCTATAATCCCAGGTACTTGGGAGGAAAAAGATGAGGCAGAAGGATCGCTTGAGCTCAAATGAAGGATGCAATGACCTATGACTGTGCCACTGCACTCCTGCACTCCAGCCTGGATGACAGAGAAAAAAAATTACAGAAGACAGTTATTAAAAATTACATAGGTGAAGCCAGGCACATTAGCACACATCCATAATTCCCAGCTATTTGGGAGGCTGAGGCAGAAAGATCACCCCATTCCTCAAGGCTGTAGTGTGCTATAATGACACCTATGAATAGCTACTGCACTCCAGCCTAGGCAACACAGCAAACCTGGTCTATTAAAAATAAGCTCAAATAAGATAAAAAGAAGAGTTAAATTTTTTATTTAAATCTAAAGAATTTTTTTATTTTTGGTATCTATTAGGCAAGAAAAAAGGAAAATACTTTCAGGTGTTCTAAAACTACAGTATTGAAGGGTTTTTTAGAAGCATAATAAAGGAGGAAAAAACTAATCCAAGTGAAGGAATCTGTTGAGAGGTTAAAAGCTGAAAACATAATTGATTCCCTCTCCACTCTTCAAAGATAGTAGATCAATCCCTGTGCTAAACTGAAAGAGGGAGCATGTTGAAATAACTTATTAAAGAAAGGAAGTCTCTATTAAATGAAACCTTTTCCACCCTAAACATGTTTATAATACACATACTCCAGTTGCTGTGGTGACCCACAGCCCAACTATTTTTCAGAGACAGTAGCTAAGACCCAAAAAACTAAGTCTCCAAATTCTTCAGCATGCTGCTTAACTTAAAACTTATGAAATGTATCAAGCCTAGTTTTGAATCACAATAATCGTCATAAATTACCAGATGCATCAGGGGTGCCACATGCACCAAGGCTGGCAGGTCCGGACCAGCCTGGGCCAACTAAAACAACAACTGCAACAACAATAACAACAACAATAACAACAACAACAAGAAGCCCGGCTTTTGGCGGGTGCCTGTATTCCCAGCTACTTGGGAGGCTGAGGCAAGAGAATTGCTAAAGTCCAAGAATTTGAGTTTGCTGTGAGCTGTGATGCCACGGCACTCTACCCAGAATGACAGCTTGAGACTCTGTCTAAAAAAAAACAAAACTAGATGTATCTGTACAAAACAGTACACAAAGAAAAAAATAAAAGTATACTGTTACAATAAAATTTGAAGACATTATTTCCCGAAGACTGTAACAGATCCCACTTATGCAATAGTAATGTTTAAGTAAAATCAAAGAGAAGACTGAGGGGGAAATATTGAATTATACTATTACTTTAAGAAAACACCACTGCCAGCACCAAGTTTTCCATGCAAGGGGTGGAGGTGATGGGTATGAAGAGAGGGAAATTTGTTCCAATAACCAAAGAGATGGGCAAACTATTGTGACCAGAATCTTTACTTAAATGCCCTAAACTTCAAGCAGCAACAGCTTAGAAAAAAGCCAACTGGACATTTTTTGACTACTTCAGTCAACAATATCCCTTATTTCTTTACAAGATGTTTTAAATTCATCTTCCTAGGAATGAAGTTACCAGTCTTACTGCAGTTGTACATTAAGCGAAAAGTAAAGGAGGGGAGGAAGACCACTGTAGATAAGTAGTTACAAAAATGAAAGCTGACACCGGATGAATAGCGAGCTTGGGGAGAGAAAGAAACACCGCCGGCCGCGTACCCCAAAGATCAAAGTCCGGGGGAAGAGGTGCAATCTCTCCGGGCCTTTGTAAGCACTGAATTACTGTACTTTCATTTTCCAATTTCCTGTCACTACAGAAAGTCACAATTGTTCCCTTCCTCCCCACTCATGGGGGTGGGGGCCACCGTTGCCACCTTTTGCCCGAGGGACCTCGCGGTACCAAATAAGGGATGACGGCAGCGGAGCGGTGCGCACCCGCGTCCACCTGCGCGCCGCAGAGCCAGGGCGGGCCGGGGGCGGGTCCAGAGGGGAGCGCGCGCCCGCAGCCTCCGCGCCCGCGCGCCCACTTCCGGTTGTGCCGCGAGACCCTTGGCCCCGGCCTCCGTTCCCGGCCGTGGCGCGGTGGTCGCGAGACCCTGACGGGGCGCGCGGCGCTGACCGCTCACCGGGGCTGCGCGCGGGGATCCCTCTCGGTCTCTCCCTCGAACACGATGCGCCTCTGCGCCCTCAGCCTCCTCCTCACGCTGGAAACTCGAGGACGGCGCGGCAGCCGCTGCGACCCCCGCGGCGAAGCCGGAGAAGGCGGCA